GAAATAATAAATCCATGGGATTAAAAAAAAATATGGATTTTTGAAAAAGAACAAGAGGGGAGTGAATTATTAAATGTTTTATCTGATATGTATTATTACAATTATTACTCAGCAAGGTCAGTGTCAGGAGAGATAATCAAGGTAAACTACTAACACAAGCTAGACTGCTTAGCTTTGCAGTTTCAGGTGAAACACCAGATTTTAAGTCACATTCATTTTCATTCATGACCTGCCTTCTTCTTTTATGTGTGTAGTAGTGCTGCCATTTAATACATTGTTTTCTACTCCTAGTTTTTTCTACTGTCCTCACTAATTACAAACCAGATGCTTATCTCTCTGAGTGCTCAAAGAAACCTACATTCATAAATAATAGTGGTGTGAAAGTAGAAAAGGAGAATCGCATCTTAGGATTTGGTTGCTTCATTTATAAAAACATTAATATTTGCATCATTCACTCCTGAGTAAGGCCCATCAATCTGTACATAAAATGAAACTAGTCACTTGGTGCATCTACATGTAAAATTAATCTGATGCAATAAACTCCAGCGCAGTTCACACAGTTTATTGCTCCCAGGCTCAGCATTTACAGAGGTGCCAGGGACCACAGCAGGCTGAGCCAGGATGGTGCAGCCCCAGCTGGCAAAGGTCCCAGGGGGTCAGCCTGCCAGCCTAGGGCTGCTTCTGCCCAGCAGAATGTGCTGGGGAGGGGCTGGCTGGGGCATAAGGGTGCTACAATACAAAGCTAACTGGCAGGCTGCCCCATGCCCAGCCAGCCCTCATCACTGTCTACATGTGTGCTGCAGCAGAGTAAATAAGCCAATGTAGAACAGTACTTGTGTTGGACAGTACTATCCTATGGCAGAGTTAATTAGTTTACTCTGGCCTATTAACACAGCTCATGTAGACGGTGACACTTTACTGCAGAGCTAATCAGGCAACTTGGCAGTAAGCATCTCATGTATATGCACCCACTAATTCTGAATGAATAAGTGGTTTTTCAGAGTGACTGGCTGCCAAAAAAACTGAAACAAATTCAATTTAGTCCAAACCAAAATTTATTTTTCCCCTCTGATTAAAGCAAAAACTAAAAAAAATCTTTCAATCCAAAATAAAGTTTCATTTTAGACAATCATAAGAAAAGTAAAGGGCTAGATTCCCAGAATTGCCAAAAAAGAAGGGGGTGTCCCTCTTATCTGATTGCCCAGTGGTCACTCACCCAGGTTGTGGGAGAGTAAGTTCAATTCCTTCCTCTTTCAAAGGGGACATTAACTCTCCCACAGGAAAGGTCCAACTCTTTGTATAAATAATTAGATGTTCCTCCAGGAGAGATTGGAATCCAGGTGGCCCCAAAGCCTGCTGGCAGCTAGGGAATATGTATTTAAATCCTGTCAGGCAGCAAAAGGAACTGAACCCCTCTTCTGGGTGACTTTTCTAACCCCCGAGCTATCAGATAAAAAAAAAGATACTTTCAGCACTGGCACTTTTGTGAATTTAGATCCCCAATGTTTTTTTCAGCTAAACCTATTCAGCACAATCAGGTCAACTTCACAAACAGATCTCAAATATCCAGCATCATATTTCTTGATGAATTTACTATTCACCAAAAACAAACCCCCCGACTCACTAGCATTGGGGTTTTAGTATGTTTTGCTTCCACTCATTCAAAGATAATTTTAAATACCATGTTTGTTCCAAGAAACAAATCAAAGCAGATATGTAAAAGATGTAAGCAGTGTTCAGTGGATCAATATCTCAGGTGGATAGTGACATGAAAAGTGGAGAAGAAAACCTCCTTGCTCTCCCAAAATGTGTTCTTTATACTCATTTTGTCAATACTGTATCTCTCAACAGTTGCACTGCACATCCATAGGGTTCTGTTGAATAGCTGTACAAGCCACATATAATTGTGCCTTTCTATTGGATCTGCAGCCTTTGAATTCAGACCATACTAGCTATATCCAGTGTTTTTCTAATGAAATTAATTCTTTGGAAGTAATTAAGATAAAGAAGAAAGAAGGATGAAAATCTTGGATAATATTAAATAGGAATTACACTTGATTTTGTGTATAATGGATGAAATTACTTAGTCTATCTAAAGCGTGGGTGTTTATGAGAGATTACAATTATTTTTAATCTTATTTTAAAAAATCATTTAGATTCTTATCTTTTAATGTTTTTGCTAGCTCTGCATTTTCTAAAAGGGCCATTACTGGTTCCAGAACAATTGCAAGAAACTTTATTAACTCTGTGTAAAGGTTAGAGATCTATACAAAATGGACTCTAAGCTACTGTCATTTGAAAAAAACAAAATTAAGTTTTTCTTCACTATAAACTGCAATTCTTTAGCACTCAGTGAAGTTAGGTGCACGAAATTTACTGCCTAAGGTTTTTTTGTGTAATAGATACCTCATTCCTGCTACTGTATTTATTGTTACTGCTGAATTTCTGGTGGTAAAAGTCACTGTATATTGACTCACTTTTTACAGTCTCAGTAATGAGAAAAATTGTTCTCCAAAATGTTTGTTGTCATTCATATATTCAAAGTTGCTGCAATTTGGTATCTTTAAAAAACTCATATTTATATAATGCTTGGTTTGCTTACAATAAAAAAATCCTATCAGGCTAAGAAGCCTATTGGGTTCATGCAGTTAACTTCTAGAGACCTAGTTTAAAATTCTGGCATTAGTCATACAAATTCAGAATCAGAGTTTCACCAAATTTTTGTAGCCTCATCCTTTTTCTCGGTAAACATTTCTGTGTATTACAAAACTGCCACACAGCTGGGAACTATTCAACATGATAGTCTGCACGCAACAGAGAGCTCCCATTAAAATTATAGCACTACTGTAGAGTAGGACTGATACGCTGTTGGAGCAATATGGATATAGACATTTGCAAAGCAGCCCATGCTTCCACTATCTTACGCTTGGCTGTTGTTATGCTCTGACATTTTCCATGTAAGACATTTCTAAGGCGCCTATCACATTGGTATCTAGGCAAGTTAAAGTTTACATAAACCTGAAAACTTATGGCCTCCAATGAAATATAATTTTAAAAGGAACTATAACCAGTTGTCTACAAATTTCCATAGGGCAGGATTTTCGGAAGTGTCTAAACTGGATGCATCAGTTTCTGGGTGTCCATATTCACATACGTATAAAAGAATTTTTATTCTTCATGTTCTATATTAAAAGGCAGTCACTTTTTTCATTTCTTTGTAGCACCCTGTGAGATCAGTAAGAGTTATTTGTGGTCAGAGTTGTCCTTACATGTGTATCTCACTGGGTAGTCACCATTTATATTGTAAAGTGTGAGATATACCCATTGTTCTTGATATTTGCTAACTGTGTATGATTTTTAACAGTGCAGTGTATTGAAGTACCATAGGTTTTTTGAATGTAACAAAATGCACATTTAACAGCACTTATGTAATGATCACACAATGTTCATTATAATGTTATTTTAGGAAGATATTACTGAAAATGTCTAAAGCATGAACTTAAATCTGAAAGAGACACAAGTTTGGTCATAACAGCATAGCAATTGCCCAACTAGATCAGCCCAAAAGTCCACCTAGCCCAGTATCCTGTCTCTGACAGTGGCCAATAACAGACGCATCACAGGAAGATGCAAGGACCCCAGGGTAGGCAGATGTACGGTAATACATTCCCTATATAATGTTTTATTCTGCTCGCTAAAAAGTTTATTTTAAGCCCCAAAGCCTGAAATTTAATACCCTATCCTAAATTTTTAGCATGATAAATTATGACAACTCTGGATCCAAGATTTTGTTTTTACACACACACACACACACACACACACACACACATTATGTATATATATATTTTTTTAAACTATATATATTATATTTAAAAAATGGTGTGTGTGTGTGTGTGTGTATATACACGTATGTATATACATATACACATACATACATACATATATATATCCACTCCAGCTTTGACTCCTGCTATGTTCTTGATCTCAGCAACTGTCACTGAATGCCCATTTATTTGTGTGTTATGAAAACAGAAACTTCTTTCTATAAAGATAATTCCCTCTTATTTATTTCCTAAATTAAACAATCTCAGCCTTTTTAGATTCTCTTCTGTTTTTCCATATTCCAGGCTTTCTCATCACCCTTTTCTGATTATGTGCAATGAGACTTTTACCGGTAACATTAATGACCAGTACTAGTCTCAAACTTATAGATTATCTTCTTTGTCTTTATAATGTTCTCTTAATTAAAATAAAGCTTGTGTTTGCATTTGAGTTTGTCCATAGCAAGAAGCATAGGCAATTGCTAGCAAAAAAGAAACTAGGTTTCCTTATTTGCACTATATGCAAGAGAGAAGGTTATGCATGAATACACATGCACCATATCAAATTTTGTCAGCAATAAAACACTGAAAAAACTGAGAGTTCCTCTGGTGGAAGGAGCACTGAAATTTTAGTAGGTGGGAACTTCTCTACCATCCCATCTGATTCTGTGCTGTGCTGTATCCCAAGCAGAACTGTCACTTTGCTTGTGAAACTAGAACATGCCTGCTGACAAAATCATCCCTCCATCCTTCCCCTCCTTTTTCCTGGAAGGCACATTTCACCAGAATTAAAGATAGCTCTTAGTCATCATCCTCAGCCTGACATTTTTCCAAGATCAGAATAAGACTTGGTTGTGACAATCATGACTAATGAAGCAGAATAACATTGGGTTAAACCTAAGCCAGAAAAAAGTATATGTTACATTGTTTTTCAAGAGAATACCAATTTAAGTTTGATACCAATTACATATGTATCACATTAATTAGAAAGATAGCTGATTTCAGAACAAATCTCTTTCTACTATGCAGCTTCTTTTTTATTAAATTACTCTTTCCTTAATATCGATAATTTAATACTTGGGATGCCCCTTTACAATAAGGAACATGGCACGATTCAGTGAAGAGCAATCAAACAAATATTATAGCTACTATGACCAAATTTGAAGAGGATATACTTACTTTGAATGATTTGTATCGTTCATCATTTAATATTTCTTTAGCTTGAAAACTCTCTCCTTCTTCTATTATTTCCTGTATGGAGAAGAATAGAGTACTTTTAGAATAAAGATTTTTAATTAATTTATCTTCAATTTAATATTCCAATAGTACAGTAGGAAGTTGTATCAGCAGGTGAACACACATACCAAACATGCACACACACACATGCACATACAGAGCACTTTTGGTGAACAAAATAGTTTTATTTCTTTGCAAACAAATCCTGAAATATTTATTCAAGTAAAAATCTCACTAATTCAGGAAAGGTGTAAAGATTTGAACCATCCAAAATACTTCACATTATCAAGAAATGGGTCTGTAATCAAGAAATTACTCATTATAGTTTCATAGTTGGTAGGATCAGAAGGGACCTGAGCAGATCATCAAGTCCTACCCCCTGCCATAGGCAGGAAAGAGTACTGGGGTTAAACGACCCCAGCAAGGTGTTCATCCAGCCTCCTTCTGAAGACCCCCAGGGTTGGAGCAAGCACCACTTCCCTTGGAAGTTGGTTCCAGATCCTAGCTGCCCTGACTGTGAAGTAGTGCTTCCTGATGTCCAGCCTGAACCTACCCTCTATCAACTTATGGCCGTTATTCCTAGTAAATCAATCATCAATTGGAAAGCAATTGTTTCATTATGCAGAGTAGACTGCATATGTCATTATTCTGTATTTGATTAAACTTATTCATTTTACAAAAGAAAGAGTTATAGTAGCAGTGGGTATATTTTTGTTCAGTATATAGTCCTTCCAATCTTTCTCCATTCTATTGCCTGGAGTTATACTCAAACTCCCAGTCTCTAGGTCAGTAAGGACTAAGAGCACTGTAGAGGTTATATTGTCAACTTCTGAAAGAAAGAAAAAAGGGGGAGTCAAGTGAATCACAAGAGTAACTTCTCCACACAAGTAAGTCATTCTGCTCAAATGTCTACTGCAATGATAAATGTCTGCAAGGTGCTGAAAGAGCCAAACTTATTATGAATCCAAAAGAAGAGGGATTTCAGCAAGACTGTACAGTTTGTCCTTCACCTATACGAAAGAATCATGTAAAACTAGAAGTAAGGCAAAATATAACATCAAATTACTAAACCGTTTATGGGTTTTGCTAAAATAGTTTTTCCACAGGCATAGGAACATGGGACTCAAAGGGGCCTCCTCTGTCAAAATATCCAGTCCTCTGCATTTACAAGCAACCATTTACCCAAGTATTCCCCAAAATGGCCATTTCAAACTCTCACAAAGAACTACAAGGCAAAACACAGAAACACCAAGAACACCCTACAACATGCCACAGGTAAAAGCTACCAGACAAGAGTATCACAAAAAGGACCATATTCCACACTACAGACAAAGGCAAAAGCCCCCACAGTCCTTGACAGTTTGACCTCAGGAAAATTCCTTCCTGGCCCCAAATTTGGGGATCAGCATTGTGACCCTGAGTAGGACAGCAAGATCCTCTTGTCAATAACCTCAAAGGTCTTAAAGTATTGACACGAATGTAGTAACACCCCAGACAAAAAGGTGAGCCTTAGCTGTGACCTTAATTATCATCAGAAAAAAAGCAGCCCCAGGAGCCAGCCACAATCATGAGAGGAGAAAAATTCCTGGCTAACAGGTGACCAGCAAAAGCCTTGAAGCATGAGACCACCTTCTGTGTTAAATCACATCAGGCTAAGCTAACCAATATTGCCAGAGAAGTCTGTTACATTCAATTAGAGAGCGTGTTTTTTTTTAATGACATATGCATTTGTTATCATTAGTATCAATAATAATGATAACAAAAATTCCAGGACCACCTTAATTCATTTGGGAAGTTTTGTGACATGTCATATTAATCATAGATTTAAATTCAAATTATTGTAAAGCTTTCCAGAAGTTACTGAGTCTATGGGAGTAAAATATTTCATAGCCTAAAACCATTACTAGATCCAACAAAGTAGGTGTTTGCCTATGAAAGCTCATGCCTCTCTAAACTAGCTAAGTCTCAAAGGCTGTAAACGGATACCACATTTGAGACAGGCCTGCTTTTCCCAGAGTTTGGCCCTGATCAAAACAGGTGCGTCTCAGCAGTGAAAGCTGTAAAGATGAGGTTTAGAAATGACTGAGCCAGTAGATGGCGAGGGAGAGCACAGCCTGGCTGGCTTGCCTCGCCTCTGGCATGGCCTGCAATAACCTTACAGATGCACACATAGCCTGGCCTCGGGGAAAAGTCTTAGCAAACTTTATATGGCATACTTCAGACAGATTTGAAGTAGAACAAGTCATTTGTACATCTGCAGAACCCTGCGGCAAATGCAATGTCTATTTATGGCCTAAGGTGCCCTCCTGCCCTACCTTCTGCCTATACAGGAGGCATGCATACAGGAGGCATACATACTGGTCTTCACGTATGCACATCAACCCAGTCTCTCTCATTGATATTTCTAAAAATTGTAAAAGCAGCATCTAGCACCGAGATGTTACCTCAATGACACATCTGACTTTGTCTCCCATGCAAGGCAGTCCTTCTATATTCTTCATTTGTACTATTGGAAATGGAAGGAATTTCAGCACGGAAGCTGCTCTCAAGAATTCCAGACAACCTAGTTTGTTTTCTCGGAACTCAAAATTTTCAGCCAGTATCTCAAAAGCATCCTGCAAAAGAAAATAAATATTAATAAAATATATAAATGTCAGAAATGTTAGTACATATGCAGACTGATTTGCAGACTTACTTTTATGCAGCTACTCCTCACTTAACATCATAGTTACGTTCTTGAAAAATGCAGCTTCAAGCAAAACAATGTTAAGCAAATCCAATTATGTCACAGTAGTTACCTACTAGCAGGCAGCAGCCAAACAACATTATTACTAAACATCGCGTGACTTCAAATGTGTATGTTCTCTAATAGATCAGCGATGTAATAACAAAACAACATTAGGCAGGATAATATTAAGTAAGGAGTACCTGTGCAATAAACATAAGCAATACAGCCAACCAGAAAAACTTCAGTAAAGCCTTCTATCAATGGAAAATTCAGTTCTGACAACATCAAAATACTAAATGAATTCATGTAGTTTTCACTGAAAATTTGTTTTGGAGACAAGCTGGAAGAAGATTCCAAGAATATTGAAGTGGGATGGTTAGACAATACTGGAATGAAATATTTCATTTTGAAACATTTTAATTTCATTTTATAGATTACAATAGAACATAAAATATAACATTGAAAGTTTTTTAAAAGCGTATTTAGGTGAACTGATATGGAAAAAAATGTATTTGTGAAGAATTTTGAAATGTTGTTGTTTTATACTAATTCAAAACAAAGCCAAAAATCAAAATCCTTTGGGAAACAAATTTCTATCTTTCACACAGCTGTCATAAATAGGGAATGACCTACAGGGGCAAACACTCCTATGTTTGCTTAATAAAAAAGGACCTTGCATTGAACTGCCACCTGGCACTTGACATCTGAAGGCGATTTCACCACCTCCCTAAATTTGAGAGAACTCTCCTGAGCCTGCCAAAGGAAAAGTAAAAAGCTCCTGCAGCTTTTAGAAATCTACCCAAATCCACTTTATCCACTGTGTCACTACATGACATCTTTTGGTTTCTAAAGCACACTCAAAGAAAATAGTCTGTGGCAGGCCCTACCACCCCGAGAGTTTCTTCTCGTTCAAGGTACAGCTGTGTGTCAAGTCAGCAAGCTCAAATAACAGTATGTGCCCTCCCCCGCAACTTCTTAACCCATGCAAAGGGGGAGAAACAGCCTTTTATGATTCTTCATTTATCTTGGGCCCTGTTTATTGAAGCTGTTGCATTCAAAAGCTGTTGACAGAGAAGTGATGTTCTTTAAAACTGGCAAAATTTGTAGAAATATGAAATGAGGATCATTTCAGGAGTATGAAGAAGTTTGTTTTCTGTCCTTCCCAAGGGTAAAATTCTATGTTTCAAAAGATAACAAGCTCTGTGACAGTACCTGAAGTCACGCAACTTTAAAAACAGTGGTGCAGGAATTTCTGCAGGCTGGTACAGAGTGGCAGTCAAAAATTTCAGTGCTTAATGAGACCCTATGCAAATCTCATAAACTCTCACATCTACAATAGCAACTGTTTTTCTGTTTGGTTGGTTTTATGAGATTTTTTTAGTGCACCCTGTTTCCAGGGCAGCTTCTCATTACATTGACAAGAGCTATGTAAAATGTGTGAGTAGAATCCATGGCACAGCAGACCAGGAACCATTGGTCTATGAAGGTTTGGATATTTCTTCTTAATGCTAACAGCACTGCCTATCTACCCTAAAATCTAGTAAACCCTCTTTATTTACTTTGCTTTCATCCCTGTTGCTACTCTCTTTTGCCCCACAGGCCACTAACATCTTCAGGGTTAGCTGTCAGAATACTTAAACCCCACTGCTCTCTAATCCAAAGACCTTTGGTAAAACAGAAAGCGCCTTCCCATGTCCCACATATAACTCTGTTAGTACATCTCTCGCCATTGTGCCAGAATTCCCATCCCCAACTAAGCAGGTGTCCGAAAGGAGCTGGGGAGAGAGAGAATGAGTGAGGTTTTGACTTCAGTCCCTAAAACTGACACAGGAAAGCTACAATCATTATTTTTCCTGGGACCAAGGGAGGAGCAAGAAAGGAATTGTTACTCAGTGTTCCTTCTACAGCAGTATAGCCGTAATCTACCTTTGATCTTGAAGGCTCAGTCTGATCCCAGGTTAGATATCTAAATAAAGTGGCCAAGTGCCTTTGTATACCAAAGACAACCACTAGAATAGACACAAAACATGATATTACCTAGAAGGAAGGCAGCTGGTCAGCAGTTCAAATACTGATGCACAAATAGGTGTTGACAAATATGAAAACAAATACAATGAAGAGAAAAAATATATCTGGACAGCATAAATGGGCTGAACATACTAATACAATCAATAGCAAAAATGAATTCTGGGAAGTGGATGAAACCATAATATATAACCAGCATAACTGTCCATACATCTAAAATTCTATCTGCTTAGAATTTCCAAACACGGTGGGCCTGGTTCCAGTTCCACGTCATTACTCCTCACATCGATTAACACTTATCAGAATAAAATTTGACCCACTAAATTGAAAGAACACAGTCCAATAAAAAAAATGTAAAGTTTTCAAAATTTGATCTAGAATTCATTTTGATCATCAGTTTTGCACACACTTCTAAAATCGATTTATACTTGGGTTTTATATTGACCTGATGGTTCACCTTTAAAAGAAAACAAGATTTTCCCTTTCTCTCTCTCTCTGTGCATTAACATTTTGAAATGCTGTAATTCTTTCTACACACTGCATGCTTGTTCACTTTTCTCATTCAGAGAATATTGACATATGCTTTGCTCAGGGACTGCATTCTGATTAGGATGATTTGTTTCACCTGTCTCTGAATCCTTCTTTCAGTCAAGCAGGGATAGTTTTTACTGAATTTAGGTGCAATCTCCGTTTTCAAGTTACACAAACCAAGTTATAATGTCCAGCCTCTATATCACTGCTACTACTAAATGATTTGATACTCTCATGCTGGTCTATATTATTTTGAATGTTTCTGCTTTCCATTCTCTGGAAAGGACAGAAAAAGAAGATTCCAGCCAAACAGATTCACCTATAAAGGCCCAAGTCATTCATTCAGTTATCTGTGGTTGGATCGCTTGATCAGATGCAGCCCACTGAAGACAGTGGGACTGCATTCTGTGTATTTACAGAATTTTCAGCTATATTTAAGATCAGATTTCATGTAGAAAACTATGGTTAGGGAAAGGTATTTGTCACAGGGGAGCCATCTCAAGGCCAGTCCAATCATTGGCCTGCCCACCTGTCTAGGGCAGTCCATACACCTGGCTCTTCTGCCACACTTTTGTTGGAATTGAATAGCTGTACCTAGGTGGGAGGCTGCACATTTAATGACCTGATGCCAAGGACATAATGCAGAGCTCTGAACCACAGCTGCACCATGTCCCGTGCCTCACAGATGACATCAAAACAGTTGACTCACATAGCCCTGTCCAGGGCCAAACTCTTCCCTTGGGCTGGGCCTCTTTCATACTACCTCCAATAGGGCAACATTTGCTCTGCCCCATTCTTGAGCCTCAGTCACATTGCCCTACTCTGCATGGTCCTTCAGGCCCCCTTGGCCCTACTCCATACAGCCCTTCAAGGTTCCTCTCTCTCACGCTTGGCCCTGACCCCTCTCAGACCTTCAGGCTGCCCAATTCAGGCCCTAGTCTACAACAGGGCTTCAGGTCTACCACCCCATACTCTAAGCTAATTCCAGCCCCTGGCCTTCTCTGGCCTCAGGCACCCCAAACTCGACCTACAGTCCACTCAGGCCCCAGGTGTGTGTCAATGTGTCAGGACCGCAAGCCTGTCCCCTCTATGGGGTAACCCACTAGGTTGTGGGGGCTGAGGCTACGTGGCACCCCATCCTCACCTTTCACTGCGGAGGCACAGGTGTAGCATTTCCTGGACACTAGCCCACTACAAGCAGCCCCGCCACAGCATCCGGCATCCAACAGGGTGTAGTTTCAGGTCTTACCCAGGACCGGGAACCTCCTCCATCCCCATCCCCATAGTTCCTACCCTAACCTCTGGGTCTTCTGGGAGCAGTAGTACTCAGGCCAAGTAACATTCATCCTTTGGCTCCCCAGCTGCAACTGGCCAGCTCTGCTCTCAGGGCCTGGTCTTACACACAGGCTGCCCAGCCCTCCACCAATCAGGCAACTTCCTGGGTGCCATGTGACCACCTGATTGGGCCTGCCACCTGCTTAAGCCCTTAAAGTGGCAGGCATCAAAAGGTGCACTGCCACAGTCTTCAATTCCAAATTTCTGAGAAATTTACGGCACAGGAATTGTGACAAGAGAAGGAGCATATAGGTGTTCCACCCTGCAGCCAACCCTTCACCCCTGCTGGCAACCACGGGCTGAGTTCTCATAAGGAAATGCCTCCCACACCTTCCACAGATAAGGGTGATCCCAGTCTGTGGAAGATATGGAGGGCCAAGGCAAGGATATGCCCCTTCCCCTTCCCAGACCAGAGTGACCTTGGTCTGTGGAAGTGAAAGGAAGCACTGGCCACTGGCAGGTTGACTCATCCTGGTCCCAGACCAGGGCAAGCCAAGCCATGGGGAGATGCCCCTTCCCCTGAATGTTTCACAAACTGGGGCAGCCTCAATCTGCAGAAGGGGTAGAAGTGCACACCCATTCAAACTGCTGCAGGAGAAGACAGATCTTCCTGGTAGGAACCGCACTATTTTTTTTATGGAACAGCCAATACTGTTCTGCAAAAAATGCCCCTTGATATCTGCACACTTTTTGTGCCATGGAAAAGGCATTTCTCCCACCACAAATGTAACACCTTTCCATAAGTAAAAATTTAACCTTATTCTATATACATGTCCTTTATACTGCCAATAAACACAACTTTATGAAACCCTTGTAATCTTTTTGTGTTTCTTATATGCTGAGTTGAGGGTTAACATTCTGCCTGCTTTCTTGCAGCGTTCAGTACAGAAGTAACAGCATTCTCATACAATAGGTTCAGAAACAATTCCTGCTTGATTCTCTCATTGTTTCCTCTATTGTTTTCAAGGACAAGCTTCATCTAACATAAATTCATCA